ATTCTGTGTGCATCAGTGTTCACGTGTAAAATATGTATATATTGCGTTCCTTGTTTGGGTTCATTATCAATAAAGACCCCTTTTGTTTCCTCTTCAATGAATTAGATGTCACTGCAAATAGAATTCGAAGAATCTGATACATTTAAGGAATCTGGTACATTTTTTAGACAAATCTGGTACACAACAAAAACATATTATGGTAAAACTTTACCAAATCGAACAAACTGTCATTCCGTCTTCCGTCATTCCTCTACTATGAAACGCTTTTAATAAAACTAAGATTCTTTTTATTTCTGCCCATTTAAAAAAATGTGTTTAATTAAGAACAGTGACATTAATAAATTGAAAGTATGTGTGTCAATTCAACGGACTGTTCCCGAAAAACTTCCTTAAGGCAAGGTAAATAAAAGTATTTTTAAAATTGTTGTTTTATTTAACTATAATAAAGTTTTACGAATTTAATTTGTTTCAGTGTCTAGGACCATTCTAAGACTACTTAAAAATGGTCTATTTTGTACCCAATTGTAAATACTATGAAGTAAAAAGTAAGCAAAAAATTTGTAATTTTTTTGTTTCCCACAAAAAAAATACATTTTTTTCTACTCTTGTTACAGTATTCTGTGAAGAGCATTATAGGTTTACTTTGCTCGTCTGTCCGATGTCATGTTTTTTGTCTGCACGATAAGTCAGAAACGAGAAATGATATCAAAAATCAAGCTGTATAAGGGGCAAAGCCTATTGATTTTTAACAAATCTGATTAAAAATAGGGGGTTAAGATGGGTTGAAATTAAAAAAAAAATCCTAAATTAAAAACGAAAAGCGATATCAACATGAAATTTTTAGTAAACATCAAGCTCTAAAAGGAGAAGCCCTTTCATTATAAAAAAAATTGATTAAATATGGGGGATTTAAGGGGGATTGATTATAAAAAAAAATCAAAAATGAAAAAGCGATATCGACATGAAATTTTTAGTAAAAATCAAGTTCTATAAGGAAATGAGGCCTATTGATTGTGAAAACAATCTGGTTGAAAATGACTGTTAAATTGCGAAGAGTATAATTTAGAATGTCAGGCATTATATCTTTATTCTAGTTTGTATCTGTGTAATATTATGTATTGTGATGGTACTGATCTTATAACACAAACATTTAAAACATTTTAGATCTTATTTTATTTGCCAATAAAAGGTATTTAAAAAATATATTTTTTATTTGACTTCTGTGACAAATTGTGAAAATGATTATACTTACAATAAAAACTAAAAAATGGTAGGTAAAGTTTCAAATAATATTTTTTACACAAAAATCAATGACAAGCTTTCTACATAACATGATAAAAATAATCTCAAATTATGAAGAAAAGTCAGTTTACTAACTAATAATGTTTATAGATGGTTTTCAACGTATTAAAAACAAAACAAATATTACACTAATTAAAATATTCATTTATTAATAGTTGTAGTGCTTGAAAACAATATGATGTTGATAATAATAACTACACTTAATACAAACTCAAATAATAAAAAAAAACAGCGATATTGGCTCTTGTACAAAGTTTTGAACTGAACTTACAAATGATAAAATTATTGGAAAAAATGAATACTCATTTTAAATTATCACAAGCCGCCACTGCACACGACTATACAATACTGTCTCAAATTTTAACATTTCTGTTTCCATTCTAAAAGTAAGTGATCTGTGCATTACTTTGCCGATGGTTTTCCAGGAGATAAGCGTTGGGCGTCTCTCTTATGAATCGTATGACCAGTGACAGAGCTATATCACCTACCCCTACCGGATACCTGCCAGCAGTGTTACCAGATCTCCTGTTTTAGCAGGAGATCTCCTGTTTTCACACTTAATCTCCTGTTCTACTGTTTTCACTATGAAATCTACTGTTTTAAGCCTCAATGTCTATTTGTATGTTTTTTCTATGAAATCTTCTGTTGGTTTCAGTAATTTTCACTAGAATATTTTACTACGACACTGTGTTTCGACGACGATTGTCGATTACAATTTGAACCGCATTTCTGCCCGCTCAGAGCCAGAATACTTGTGTAATTTTATTTTATTTTAATATCAAGAAATTTGCATTTGTTTCCTTTACATGTATTTATAGATTTTTTTAATATATTATACATACATCTTATGTAAGAATTAAAATTTATTTGTTTGGCCTGTTATACTAACCGACTAGAAGGTGAGGTAGTTTACTTTAGCTTCGGCGGGATTTATCATTTTGACAATTGACAGTTGCTAAATCACATAACGTTCCGATATAATTGAAAAATATTAATTGAACTTCCTATAGTTATATTTGTAATTTCTTATACTGGGTTCCTCTATTAAAAAATAGATTTATTAAAATCTCCTGTTGAAAAAAGCAATCTCCTGTTTTTTGGCTACATTCCTACTGTTGACAGAAATTTCCATCTGGCAACACTGCCTGCCAGTGTACTGTCAATATCGCCGGGTGCGCGTGGTAGAAAGAGTGCTCTAACGCTGCTAAAAATGTAGCAAAGTACACTCGTTATAAATTTCTTTAGTACTTTTTTTTTAATAAAAGGTAGGAAATCTTTAATAATTGATCATAAATATGTTTACCGTTAGATAAAAAATGTATATGGGAATTTCAGATTTATCAGAAAGAAAACACCTAAATAGAATACATTGTAGGCTTTTATTATTCTTAAAGTACACAATCACCTTTATTATATAAATTATATTTCTTAAGTAGAGATATCTGTATTTTTCAGTTCCTCGTTTCTTTTGTTATAATGTTATTGCTTGATCTCACGACTTCTGACATGACATTTAATCTGTTTTATAAAGAAATGTATATAATAATGTGTTCACTTAAGATTTATCTCATCGTCAGGTTTTAATACATACCAACTCTAAAATTACAAATTAGTTCAGAAAATAACAGAAATTGGTTCTGTGCATAAGCTTGTTTATAGTATTAGCAAATATTACATTTGATCAATCACATTTTTAAGTTCATTTCTCTACAAATAAACAGCTCATTATACAGAGTGGCCCAAAAGTCTGGAAACGGCCAATTATCTCGTAAATTGCTTGTACTAATTGTACAAAATTTGGGGTACACCTATTTTGGGATACGGTGATTCCAGATTTGGATATTTGCAATGTTGCCAGATTTGCCGTTTCTCTTAAATTATTAATCACTTTGGTTTTTCAAATTCATCACCCTGTATATTCAGTTATTATTTGAATCTCTTATTCAATACGAGTTCAAGCGTATGTAACACTTATGTTTTTATGTAGTCTGGAAGGTCTTAAATAATTAAAACAGAAGTCCGGCAACGCCTAATTGTCTCAATAAATTTTTTAATACAAATTATTTTCAACTACATTAAAACGTAACAATTGAAAGATTATAACATTTTTAACATAATGGTTGTTCAAAATGTGCTCCATTTGTGAGTTGACAGTACCCTAATCGATGGTAGAATGGGTCTATCACATTTCTCCATCATTGTTTTATTTATTTAAGACCTTCCAGACTACATAAAATCATAAGTGTTACATATAGTTGAACTCGTATTGAATAGGATATTCCAAATTCCAATAATGACTGAATATACAGGGTGATGAATTTGAAAAACCAAAGTGAATAATAATATAAGAGAAACGGCAAATCTGGCAACATTGCAAATATCAAATCTGGAATCTCCGTATCCCAAAATAGGTGTATCCTAAATTTTGTACAATTAGGATTAGCAATTTACGAGATATTTGGCCGTTTCCAGACTTTTGGGCCACTCCGTATAACAATAAGCTTATGATTATTTTAAGTGCTGATAAGTCCTTTCAAACGTTGATAAAGTCATAAAATGTATACACCTTATTTTTAACAATCCTGATAATTATGATAATATTTACGCGGAACGATAAGATGTCAGTATATTATTTATAAATTTAAAATTATGAGCAATTTATAGT